ATTGCCAATTATTAATGTAGCCCATGTTGTTTTCAGGACACCACCTCGACAACCAGCGGTTGAATGACGACATGCAGCTAAACATGTCTTCACTGATCAGATCAGAGAGGGGACTAGAGAAAATTATGGAGTCCAACATTGTTTTGGCAAACTTACACACCGAAGCATTACTTATTTTTGTGACCTCAGATTGGTGAAACCGGTTGTCATTACCACTAGCGTGAATAACAATCTTAATGTATTTAACCTTATCATTAGCAGGTAGTTTCAGCTGGGATTTGATGATTTGACTCACCTCTATTCTCCCCTCTTGCCCGTGCAATATTCCTAGGGTTACCATGTAAATCAACCATTCATAGAGTGGACCTCGCTGTTAGTTTTAATGCATGATTAGTATTTTCTTCAGAACCCACCTCCCCATTCCATGTGCATCATGGTGGATTGTCCTGATAATGCTGGTGATGGCAATCATACTGTATTCCTCAAGTACATGTCATCAACTATATATAAGTTCTTTTAATGGTTGTGTTTGGATATTTTTGTATTCTAACTTTTCCTGTGTCTAAAGAAATTTGTTGTGCTGCAGCAAAGCTGATCCTCGAGTGCTACTGTCCTAAAGCCATTGCATGCATTCCTGCCCTAACACACCTGAAACAAAGCACCAAATTATCTCCTTGGCATGTCAGTGACTTTAGCAGTGTCCTGGCCATTAACGCTTCATTTGATTTGGATGTGTGGAAGAAGGGATGCATGCGAAACCAGCAGGACAGTGGCACTCCAGGACCAACACTCCCTACCCCTGTGCTACAGTATCAGTTGTCCAGTGCAGTTTGGAATGTTTACATCAAAATCACAGTCATAATCACAGTCCAGATTTATCTGCTGTTAGCTTTTATTTCTTTCTTAGGATATTTAGAACAAGTCCAAATCTTACACTATTCCGTTCTCAGAGTAGGACAATGTATTCCTGACATGCAATGTTAATGTTTTCTGCCTGAAAAAGCCTGATAGTATAGGGCTGGTTCTCCTCCCACAGCAGTGTGTCGCAGATATTTTTGTTTTATGCCCAATTTTGAAGCATGGTCTGCGCTATGTTATTCCAAGCCACAACGTTGCGTATTTCCAAACAGGAAATACGCATAGTGTAGAGAGGATATTGATTTGACCGATCAGAGGCTTCCTGTCTGCAGTCACCTACAATTTTGGAGAGGTTCACCAAAGTGTCTGCGGAAGGGGTGGGAGCACATTTGCGTTTACTGCGACACATGCAGACCATGGTTTCTGAGTATGAATCAACGTTATGCTCCTCTCCTATTTTCAGTGTCGAGCCAACCGGAGAACGATGGTTGACACCGGGTCTGAAGAAATGTAAGTTTGTTTTTCATTGGATTCAAGAAAACAAAGCAGCTCAGATTCAACCATCTTCAAACTGTCAATGACTCATTTAGGAGTCATAATTAAATTGTGAAAAAATGATCAATAACTGCAACTGAATTATGTTTGTATTCTCCATCAGATTCCTGTCAGATCACAATCGACACAAACACAGTGAACAGAAAGCTAAAACTCTCTGAAGGCAACAGGAAGGTGTCATTTGTGGAGGAGCTTCAGCCTTATCCTGATCACCCAGACAGATTTGATGGCAGGCCTCAGCTGCTGAGTAAAACTGGTCTGACTGGTCGCTGTTTCTGGGAGGTCTGGTGGAAAGGAAGAGTGAATATATCGCTGAGTTACAGAAGGATCAAGAGGACAGGAGACATTAAAGACTGTGGGTTTGGCTGTAATGATCAGTCCTGGAGTCTGAACTGCTCTGAAGATTATGGTTACACAGTCTGGCACAAGAACATCATAACCCGTATTTCCTCCTCCTCCTCCATCTCTGACAGAGTAGCTGTGTATGTGGACTGTCCTGCTGGCATTCTGTCCTTCCACAGAGTTTCCTCTGACTCACTGATCCACCTCCACACCTTCAACACCACATTCACTGAACCTCTGCATGCAGGATTTGGGTTTCTGTGGTCTGATCCTGGTTCTTCAGTGTTTTTATGCAGTTGACATTGAGAGGTAAGGCTATCTAAAGGGCTCCATAGACAATGGCAGTTTCTTTGTTTTAAAAAAAATTCCACTGGTATTTCTAAATCTAAACTATATTTCAGTAAATGTCAGGGATAAAGGGGATATGAATTGTCTTTGTACCATTTATAAACTACTGTGAAGAACCACCTGTCCTGAAGCCATCGTTTGTTATGGCTAATCAGCTGTTTGAGCTAAAAGTTTTCTTTAGAGTGTGGCTTGATAAGTTAAAGCTATATCCATTGCATTACTGCCACCTGCAGGAGATTTTAGATACATCCATTCCACAGTTTCCAGGTTAAGTGTGATTTACTAGAACAAATCACTTTATGTGGTCTCGTAATGATGGTAAATACCAAAAGCCAGCATGAAAGTTGCACATGAACACCCACTCATGTCATAATTTCCACTGGAAAGCTGGTAAAGTTTTTATCATACCAGAGTTGTTTAGATGCGGTCAACTGTAACCTTTAACATGGTGGAGAGCAATGAAACGATTCTCTGTGATGGATACTGTATCATTAAGCGCTCTCTCTCATGTTGTGTTTGTAGCCTACTCTATGCTGTGACGTATATATATTTTTAAAAATATATCACCATTTAAACTTGTGTTGTTTTTTAAAGACCGTTATTGTTTGAGTTTGTCAGATGCTCGCTAGCTGTCAGTCTCTGCATTTGATGGGCCTCTTCTTCTTGTAGCACATAAACCAGGCTGTCTATTACTGTCCTGCCCAAGTAGCAGGTCAGGATAATCTTTGGATCCATGAAATTTCTCTTTTCTACCACTACAATTGTTTTAAGGATCTTTTTAACCAGACCACATGAAGTCTGCATAATGTCCATGTGTGAAAGGCTCTCATTTTTGTTTGATCTGGGGAAGTGTTTCTTGTAAATTACTGGGACTTGTGTGTTAAAGAGGCTTCTGGGTAAGAAGAACAGACTGTATTATAATTGCTGTCCCCAAACCATGTTATTGTTTTATTAAATAACATAATTACACATCCTTTATACTCATTGTTATGATCTGCCATTTTGGGATTTTTGGTTCTGTTTAGTTTTCACTTTGGGTTTTAAGTTAGGCTTGGATTTATGTTATACTGTTTCTACTGTTGAGAGTTATATCTTTTCAAAAATTATTTATACAGAACTACAGTTAATTATATAATCTGTGATTTTTGCAATAGGTTTTCTTGTTTTGTTTTTTTCCATTTTTGTCCCTTTAAAATTGTTAATGATTGGTGTGTATAATAAAATATTTTGTAAATTTTTTTTGTGTGTGAAATGTGTTAGAAGAGAACAATAATTCATGGTTCAGGGTTTTTCTGTCATTTTAGTGAAATAAGCTCAAGCGGACAGGGAAAGTGTTTGTGCAAATTGGGCAATGATGAGCAAACTGAAAGTGGTTAGTCATTTTTATTCAAACATAATAGTTTTTCCACAGTTTTTGGTTTTAGTCGGGTTGGACGTTGTGTGTTCAACCAATCTTTTGACTAAACCAGCCAATCTAATTTGGTACTGTTTTTACCCAATCCATATTTGTACAGGGCAAACCAGTAGAAACACACATTGACCAAAATACTTGTTAAGTATTATCACAACTTTCAAGTCTAAATTGGATGGAAGTCCATGTCTGACAGCTGGCACCTCTAGCAATGATAACTACTCATTAGAAAGTAATTCTACCTAACACTAATATAACAACTGTAACCAGTGGCTTGCTCAGATTCTGATCATTACATTGTTTAATCTAACCAAAATAGTTTTAGCCAAAATAGACTGGCTGTTTTTCTAACCAATCTATTCTCAGAATCTATCCACACTCTTTCCAACTGACAGCAACTCTCCTACAAACTTCCACATCTTCACTAAATACCGAGGCTCTTTAAATGGCTGTCGAAGTTCCGGGCGAGCTGATCCACTTCCTGAAGCGATCTTATGGTACGGCGCGGTCACAAGGCTTCAGACATCCTCTATTTTGGCTCCTCCAACGAATGAAGCAAGCCTCGACACACGCTTCGGGGAAACTACCCTTTCACTACTCGAGACACACCTTGAAGCCTCGGCTCATCTTATAACATCACTAATCTGTTGTCTTTGGAAATTAATTAAATCTGCAAGAACTCATCTCTGCCTCCTATTATTTTTACATAAAATAATAAATGATTTTGTACTGCTACAGTAAGTTGGTGTTACTGGATCTGCCTCTTAGAAATGCCTTTTTAGGTTGTTGCCTTTTGTAATGACTTCCCATTTGGCACCAACTGTAAATATTAGCATGTTTTTCTGTTATGCTGTGAGATTAGTGAGCTAATATGGCACCAAAAGTGAAAAGAGATGATCTTATAATGTTTGAGTTATTTGTAAACAGGCAGGACTGTGTATCTGTGAGATTGAGTTTGACAGTGCTGGGAGGTTTTTGAACAATTGTCTGGGTCTGTAGCTGGTTGCAAAACACTATATATCTAGTTTTTGATGTAAACAGGCAGCCCCCTATTTCTATTAATAATTGAATGATTCCATCCATTTTCTGTCACACTAGATCCCAGCTGGGGTGGCGAGGGGTGGTAGTGCACCCCCTCGCTGTCCACAAGGCGGGGTCCACCCTGGACAGGTCGCCAGTCCATCACAGGGCAACACAGAGACAAACAACCATTCACACACACACACACCTAAGGAGATTTAGAGAAGCCAATTAACCTAACAGTTATGTTTTTGGACTGTGGGAGAAAGCTGGAGTACCCGGAGAGAACACATACATGCTCAGGGAGAACATGCAAACTCCATGCAGAAAGACCCCGGGCCGGGAATCGAACCCAGAACCTTCTTGCCAACACCGCACAACGGTCTGCTAATTTTTTTTTTTTATACATAGACACAGAAACACACTTGTACTGTTCATCTCCAGACCACGTCAGTCGTCCCTGTCTCTCCATCTCTGGCATTCAACGCTTTAACATAAAACTGTTAGCAGCGAAGCTGTAAGTGAACAAATTCACAAAAACCAAAAAATCCACATTCTATGTAAAAACAAACCCAAGGAGCTACCTTAAGTGATCTGAATACATGTCTGACCATTAGAAGAGTTTCAAGCAGCAACAAGTTGCTGAACCATTTAAGCAGAAATGTGTTCCTACGAACGCATTTCTGAGGCCTTTTCAAATAGCCACCGAATACATATTTGATATTGAAACCTTAATATTCTTTGTGGATTATCTTTGATTATTTTTAGCAAATGTTCGTGTAGAAATATACTGAAGACTGGAAATGAAATGGGGCTAGCAGCCTAGAGAGGCCCAGACTTTGGTCTACTAGGCTAAGCGAGCTGAGAAGCATAGCTGAGAAACATAGGCTGTGTAGGCGAGCTGAGAAACATAATCCCTCCGGCTTGTCCTGGGTCTTCCTCTGAGCCTCCTCCTGGTGGGAAGGTACTAGAACAGCTCACCAGGGAAGTGTCCAGGAGTCATCCTGACCAGATGTCTGAGCCACCAGCCTCTTTTTCCTTTGCCTTTTCATGAACAAGTCCTACATCCTGTTATGTGACTGCTGAGGTAAACAAACATTTTATAGAAATCTACTTGACTTTACTGTACCACTATAGCCCCATTTATACTACCCTCGGAAACCGATTCATGGTTAGCTTGGTTCAGTTAACCGTGCTGAGCTTGGTTCCTTACAACCATTTACACAAAACATTAGCACGGTTCCTCACCTCCTAGTGACGATATACGGTACTACTGCTCTCTAGGAGTAAAGAATCAAATCAACATGGCAACGGCCGTAACATTCAGGGAGGTTGGTTATGGTTGGGATATTTCGTTGTTTGCGGACAGTCAGGCGAAGAAGGCAGCCTTTGGTGAATTTACTTGACAGTTGGCTTTTGGGAGTGGATACGACAAACAATAGTCTAATCAAGGCTTAGAGACGCAGGAAACAACGACAGACGTTGAGGTTCATCACACTTCATCACTGGAAATTGACAGAGGCTGACTGTAAGGAAATTATGTGGTCTGTTCATGCGTTCTTTGTTGTCAGAGAACTGAGCAAAAACTGAACTGCTCCGAGTTCCACTGATGAACTAGTACCATGTTAGCAGTGGTTTGGTTGTCTGGCACAGTCCGGTTCAGTTGTGCGTGCCTTTTACACTCAACAGTTATCTCAGTTACCGTGTTCAGAGCGATCTTGGCACAGTTTCAAGAGGGTACGGTACCATAACATACCAACTTTATTTCTGAAGCACTTTATACACCGACAGGACAGGACAAAATTGCTGTATACAATCATAAAATACAACACAATTATAAAATAGAAAGCATCGAGTATAAAATACATATTAGTATACAAACAGAATAAAACAAAGTGAAACCTCTCAAATTGTGCCATAAGACAAAGAAAAAAGATGAGTCTTAAGAAGGGACTTAAAAATAGCAAGAGAAGAGGCCTGTCTAATGCTTAGAGGCAGATCATTTCATAGCTTAGGAGCTGCCACAGAAAAAGCACAGTCTCCTCTGAGCTTGCATTTTGTCTTTGGGACCCTCAGAAGCAACTGATCAGCTGACCTGAGGGACCGGGAGGGTGTGTAAGAATGTAACAGCTCAGACAGATAAGGAGGGGCAAGGCCATTAAGAGTTTTAAAAACAAATAAAAGAATTAGAGGGTGGTGGAAATGGGGTTTATTCCTGTTAGAGTGACCAATCACCCTTCTTCCAGGGACGGTCCCTGGAAAAGGTATCCCTGGAGTGCTGTTATAAAATGGCTGTTTAGGACAGCAAAGGAGAGAGCAGCAGGGGGCTTGTCCTCACTTGTTCAGTGACACTGTTATTTATTCAGTACTTTTAAAAGGGGAAATTTACTGTATTAGGTGATTAAAATGTGATCATTATTTCTTACATTTTTAGTTGTGTTGGTAAAGTAGACAACTATCTGAATAAAATAAGCTTTTACCAGCTGAATGTTGCCTATAAACACAACTTTAGCATCCCCTCCACTAGCCAATGTGTCCTCCCCACATTTCCAATGACTCCAAAGCCACTGCAGGACATAAAACCCCAGTTGTATTCTTAAAGGTACAGTTTGGTACCATTTTTTCTGAGTGTAAGGCAAATGTAGGTTAA